ACAGAGAAAAAATAGATTTGTAATGTAATTGGCTTCTCCTCTGTCGTCCTTAATCAATTACTATCCATGTCCTACCCCTTAAAAATAGGTGTAACCCATAGCTTCTTCCCAAGGTATCTTCTCCATGTATACTTTCTATCTTGGTGATCTTATCATCTCCCATAGAATCAACTAACTTCTATGCAGAAGACATATATACATATATGTGTGTGTATCCATAGATGTATATAGACACATATACATGAGTGTATAAATAGACATGGTATAGACTTATACCTACATGTGTATATACACACACACACACACACACACACACACACACACACACATACACACACACACATATATATATATACACACACACACACATGTGTATATAAACATTTCATGTATGTATCTCCAGCCCTCATCTGTATCCAGAACTCTAGTCCTGTATGACCAACTGCTGGGCATCACTTGGATAACCCATCAGTGTCTCAAACTCAACTTGTCCAAAATTTTCTCCCAAGATTCAGTTCTCTTACTTTCTCATTTCCATAAAGGACATTACCATCCTTCCACTTAACCATATTCTCAGATTCTGTATCATCCTGGACTCTTCCTTCTTCTTTAAGCCCTATGTCCAATCAGTTGCCAATTTTTGCTGATTTTATCTTCCTAACAACTCTAAAAACTGCTCCTTTCTATCCAATCACAATCCATCCTACTTCAGGCTCTCATCACTGCTTGCCTGGACTATTCCAAAATCTTCTTTCTAGTCTTCCTGTTTCCAGTCTCTTACTTCTCCAATCTATTCTCCACAGAGCTACCATTGATATTCCTAAAGCACAGGTCTAAATGCAGCATTCCTCTGCCCAAGAAGCTTTTGTGGCTCCCACTTGCTTCTAGGACAAAATACTGATTTCTTTGTTATTGAAAACCCTTTACAAGCTTGCTATTTTTCCAGTAGGATACTTTTTACCTTCCTTTATGCACCCTGCAGTCTTGCCAAAGTGGCCTGCTTTTTGTTCCGCATGGATGACATTTCATCCCTGACCCTCGTACCTTTGCACAGACTATCCCTCATGCCCTTAAAGGCTGTAGGCAGAGCCTTATTCCAACTCACACTCACTCTGGCAAATTGGGTGAGGCTGCCTATGTCTCCCTCTCAGAGTTCATGTGCCTGAATGGTTGGGGATGTCTTTCTAAAACTATTAACTCAAGTCCTCCTTCTGATGTGTCCCCTGCAACATCAAGACCAGTAATTAGTGTCCCAGGGTTATTTAACCAATTAACATCAATTAGCTTTTATTAAAAAATATTTTACTGCAAAGCTATAGCAAAAGCAATAGAACAAACACATTGCTGGGCCAGGGGCACGTTCTGTACCCTCCACCTCCTCAGGCCCTGGGGAGAAGGGGCTCAAGCAGTTTTTACAAAGCATTTACTTCACTTCCAAATTTGGCAAAACCAGTAGATGCAGTCATTCCCTTGCACTCAGGACACAGCTTGTCCACAATTAAATCAATGCTACAGTGGGTCAAGCTGGTCATTCTTCAGGGCCTCAAAAGGACACTGGACCAGGTCGTAAGCAACTCTGGTATGGACTCTGGAATTCCAATGGCTCACAAGATTGTTGTCCTTCCCGAAACTCCTTCGCCTGAGAGAAGAAAAGAACAGATACGACTGGGATGGAAGTGGCATAGGGACTGCCTCACCCAAAGGCTCCCAGAATTTCTTCCCGTTCACTCAGACTGCAAAGTGGTATGAGATGTAATTTGGCCACTGAGTATCTTTGGCATGCATGCTCAATTCTAGCTCAGCAGCCAGCTAAAAGGCTTTTCTTCATCACACAGTAAGTAGACAGGAAAGAATCACAGAATACCCAGGCATGCTCTGGAGTACAGAACCAAACCCCTCCATTGTGCATCACATACTTCCAGAAGCCAGTCCAACAGACATCTCTAAGAGTCCTTTGAACACACTGCTACGACTGTGCCCTCATTGGCCAGAGCCTCATTACACCTGCTAGCAATTACCCAGTTGATTACCAATTAACCAATGAACATCAGTGAACTTTCACAAAGTGGTATTTGCTGTGAAGCTATAGCAAGAACAGAAAAAACTTGGGACCACACTCTCCCCTAGATCCCTCTTCTCATCCACACTTCTTAAAATCCCTTGCTTCTTTCTAAGCTCCGTTCAAATGCCTCCTCCTTCAGGAAGCCGACCTTAATGCACACTTGCTAGTGTCTTCTCCCACAAAATTTCATTATATGCATTTTTTATTTACTTATCTGTGTTATTCCTTCAATACAATGTAAGCTCCTTAAGGGCAGGGACTGGTTTTTTTTTTCTGTATCTTCAAAGCCTAACCTGGGATCTAGCACATAGGTGTTGCTTAAAAAATAATAGTTTGCATTTATACAGCACTTCAATGTTTGCAAAATGCTACACATATTTATCTCATTTGATATTGCCAATAAATCTGTGAAATAGGGGCTGTTGCCCCTGCTTTACAGATGATGAAACTGAGGCTGAGAGGTGAAGTCACACAGCTAATGTATCTGAGGTGAAATCTGAACTCAGGTCATCCTGATTTCAGGTCCAGCATGCTTACCAACTGTGCCACCTAGCTATCATCCTTACCAACGCCTATTGAATTGAACTCAGCTGTTCATCAGGCAAAACTTTGCAGAGCTCAGCCTGAGCCCTAGCATAGGCCAGTACAGGCATAACTCAGCATTCAGTATACAAATGTGGGTACTTCAAGAGGAGCAGTGTCTACCTCCCAGATACTACCAGGCCTACCTCCCTCTGGAGTCTCCTTGCCTTTCTGCTTTTGTTCCTACTACTATGAGTTCACTAGGTGCCCCCAACTATGTGATCTCCCGTAACCACAGATCAGCTGGGTAATACCTCCCACCATTCAGCTTTCTAGAGTTCATCTCCCACCCTCCTCCTCCTCAGAACTCTAATTAGGACTTTCAGTTCTCAGGGTAACTTTATGACGAGGCTCCTCTTATGAGGTCCATCTTCCCCTCCAAAGTCCTCCTGCAACCAATGATGGCCAGTCTTTAGTGGTGTGTTTTACAACACTTCCACACCTTAGTAAATCATCTTTGAGAGCTGTAGTGGTTCCAAATATAGATTGATCATATAGCCACTCTAATGAGCTTGTCCTCAGAGGACAGAGGTATAGTCCTTTGCTGATGGAGTTCATATGAAATATTGTGACTAGAGATCCCAGCATCATGGCCTAATGGAAAATCCTGAGGGATTCAACCTCAAATGAGCTGAGTGTGGATTCATCCAGATGGGGACTCATCTAGGAGTGATGCCACATTTGGAAATGAACATGGCAGAGTGAATCCTATGTAGAAACTGTATTAACTCTGAGCCCACTCTTGCTAGGAGATGAGGTGATCTAGGTGGGGAGTGTGGTCCCAAGTTGGTAACTTCAGTTCTTTGCTATATCTTCACAGCAAATATCACTTTGTAAAAGTTCATTGATGTTAATTGGTAATCAACTGGGTAATTGCTAGCAGTTAATATATTGGCAAAGGGGCTCTATTCAGTAGCATTAGAGAAAGCCACAGCACTGTCCCTTAGGGGCACTGCTAGAACACTGACGGGGAGACATGACTGGCCTTCCTCCGGAAGAGTAAAGGCAGGGTATTACTACATGTGGAGCCTCACGTGGGAGAAAATTGGGTCCTTCGCATTTGTGAGAACCCCACTGGAGAGAGTCTTCACCTGGGATGTTATTAATTACTGAATATGCTAGTTTTCAGGATCCATCTGAGAAAAAGTGTCACACTTTTAAAATTTCGAGTCATTTTTTTCTTTTTGGTGTGTTTCCTTTAAAAGTCAGGTTTTTTGTGATCATTTTTGTAGGCTTTCGTATTTGTCAATTCATTCCATGCTTAATTACTGATATCAATTTGCCAGGTTGCTGAATGCTATTGACACTAACATGAGACTTGGTACCACTAAAATGCAGGTGCCTAGCTGATAAATGCTCCACATTCTTCTTTGGCACATGTGGCCCTCTAGGCCCTCAAATTCGGCCTTTTGATTGAACCTAAAATTCACAAAATAAATAGAGGCTGAAGGTTCCCTACCTTGGCTTAGACCGTTGATGTCACTTCTTCATCACCCAAGTACCAAGTGGCTACAAGGCCACACAAAAGCTTGCCTGGTGGATTTTGGTGGACCAGGGACCTTCGCTCAGCTGAATTAACTCCAGGAGTCCTCAATGCCTGCACATTGGATTGTGAGCTCTTCAAAGACTCCCTTTTAAGCCCCAAGATTTAGCAGTGTCTAATGCGTGATAGATGCTTAATAAATATTTAGTGACTGATTAGCTGATGGATTGTTAAATGTCCTTTTCCTGCTGTGGCTAAGTAAATCTCTTTGCTTAACTGTCGAATGACCTATAAGAAGCTCATTTTATTCCATTGTTGAATCTAAACTACCAAGGTGCTGACCCAACCCAGAACAGATGTGCTCTGGGATTGCTGCAGAGACTAAGCATTCTTTCTGAGATGGGAAGCTTTCTTTTCTTTGTCTTTTCCTTTTCTTTATTACCTTCGGGTTAGGGAAGACTGTTTTGAATACTAAGATGGCCCTCGCTCAGTGCTGAAGATTAAGCTTTTGGCTCTACTATTCCTTCTAACTTCATTAGAGATGTCTGTGACCTTGTGAGCTTCAAAAGGTTGGAACAGGGAGCTACCAGGAAAATGCTTTCTCACGACCAACCTGCGGAGGTTGATAATGCAAGTATTATTATCTCCATTTTACAGATGAAGAAACCGGGGTCTATAGAGATGAAATTAGTTGCCCAGTATCACACATCTACTATCAGAGGTTGGATTCAAACATAGGCTCCTGGCTCCAAATCCAGTGCTTTTCCCATCCCATGTCACTTCTAGTTCCCCCATCACAATTAATCAATCAACCAGCATTTATTAGACACCAATTATGTGCCAAGCGTTGCCCATCCCATGTGATTTCCTCCATCAAGATTAATCAACTAACCAGCATTTATTAGGCATCAGTTATGTGCCAGACACTGGACATGCAGGAAACCTTTACAAAAGTATGCATGAGGTGGAGAAGGAGTCATTTATTGCAGTGAAATGGGCCCTCCAGGCAGGGATGGATAGTCAGCCACAGACAGATGGACATCTAGAGTTCAGAACTTCAGGGAGCAAGCATGCAAGAGATGTAGATGTGGGAGTCAGCTAGATAGAGGTGACAGCCACAGCCATGGAGATTAGTATAGGAGTGTAGGGGAAAGGTTTTTGGGGGGGCATCTCAGGGAACTTTGGCCTTTGTGAAAGAAAATAAGGGCCAAGATACACAAAAGGATAAACTGAGATACAAGAGTGGGGGTGGGGCACAATAACCTGGGTTCAGACCCAGGAGTCCTGGCCACCAGCCCTGTCTCTTCTTCTCTCCTATCCAGACACAGTCGCCACCCTTACCAATCCCATGCCCCCAAGCCCTGGAGCTCCTCAGAGCTTGATACAAGAGGAAGCTTTCTTCTCACAGATCCAGAAGTTCTCCTTGCTGCAGGGTGCATCATTCCAACCTTGAGAGGTCAGCTCACAGCAGTCCTCATCCCCAGCATTGTTGGGTTCTCCCGCATTCCAAAAGCTGTGAACGTTAGCTTTTTAGTGAGTAGTCCTCCTTTCTCCCCCACTGGAGTAGCCACTCAGCTCCCGTGGTCAGTCCCTTGACACCAGCCCCCTCATTTTCTCCACCTAGACAAAAACTGGTCTGTGCCTCAGATGAAGCTCCAAGCTCCCCTACTCACTCCTTCTGACTCTCACAACCAATACACACACACACACACACACACACACACACACACACACACATACAACCTGTACATACACACATAGCCTTGGAAAGAGACCATCTCATTCTGGGGAGGACCCCATCCATTCCCCATCCCACTTCTGCTTTCTGCCACCCCTGCCTCATTCTCAAATAGTCCTCCTCTGGGAAGTCCCAGGAGTCTAGTGTGTCTGGACCCCAAAGATCCCCAGACTTCCCAGGCATATGGAGGTCTGAACAGCTGAGACTAGCTAAAGAAATTCTTATTTGGACACATAGATGGGTTTGGGGAGGAAGGAGAGGATGGGTTCTTTCAAGATTCCAGGGCATCCACAGACTAAGGGTCCTTAAGGATCCAGGGTGAGTTCTCCCTTCCCCACAACCTCCCAAAGGGAGAGCTGTGTTTTCTCATATGACAAAGCTCTGATCTTTGGAGTTGTTTCCAAGGCATTGTTCCCTTCTGAAGGGTCAGGAAGTCAGTAGAATCCTATGATCACAAATCTAGGGTTGGAAGGTATCTCAGAGTCCATCTAATCCAACATCCTCTTCTACAGATGTAACCCTAGTTTTAGACTTATGCACTTTGCACGAGACTCTCTAAATGGTAGAGAGAATGATGGCATGACCCTGCATAACTGAGAAAGGCAGAATTGGTGCAAAAGCTTTGGAGAGCCAAGACATTTTTCTCTCCTGCTTGGAGAGACACATGTGATTCCAGACTTTCTTTAGGACCAACTTCAAGGAGAGAAAAAATACTTTGAAAGTAGCAAACATGCAGGGGATGCCAGCACCTCAACATGTCCCTAATTTCCAGCCTGCTGCCCTAGAGATTTCAAGAATTTCCCTTTGATGAAAATTGGAGCCTCTCTCTTGGTTAAGTGAGATCTCAGCTTACTCCTATCTAAGAGCTTCTTTGCTCTTGTATACGTTCTGGGATAGTTAAATCTGATTTCTGTTTGTTTTCTGCCTAGATCTTTGGGATTACTCACTATTCACTCTTTGTGATGGGCATTTGTGTAATTAGCATTTAATGGGAAAAAGCAAACCCAGTGAGGGTAAGCTTGGGGCACATTCCCCCTTGAAGGGATAGTGACCAAGAAAGCTAGTGGCTTTGTTGCTTATGAACCTAAAAAAACATGTTGGGCACCTAAATCAGCAATATTGGAGGGGAGTTCCAAAGAGATAAAACTCTAGTCTGGTATCTCCCTTCAGAGAACAAAGAAGCCAGCCTCATGTCCCTTTCTCCTGCACCTCTCCAGGCAGGAATCAAAATCTCCCTTGGAGAGGGGTGGGCAAGAGTCCAGGATTATCCATCAGTGTCTTCCCATGAGCCATATTTAGTCAATTCACATGAAAAGCAAACTGAGGTGGAGAACAGTTAAATGACTTGCCCAGGGTTATACACAAGGTCTAAGGTAATAAGTGTCAGTTGCAAAATTTGAACACGAGATTCCTGACTCCAGAGTCAGGGTTCTTGAACCCTGAGGGATCAAGCTCGGGAGGAGAGTGCTGATTTTGGAGAAAGACTGATGGGTATGGGTGTAGGAAACACTGCCGGGGGAAGATGCTGGCTGGAGAAGATACTGATTCTGGGGGCTGGACACTGACCAGGGAGGTGAGAGAAGATGTTGACAGGGGCAGGGACCGACTGGGGCTAGAATGGTTGTGGTAGAGAGAAGGAGATGGCGGAGATACTGCGGGAAAAGAGGATGCTAATTTGATTGGAAGAACTGTGACCCTCACAATCAAAGGGAATTGGAGGTGGGGGCTTGGTTTTGACTTCCCTTGACCCCACAACAATGAGGGTGGGGCCCATTGGCTTCTGGTGCCTGGACTCAGTCCTGATGCTGGAGTTTGGGGCATCCACTGGAAAGGGATGAGGTTGTCCTGTGATGCTCTTAGGGAAGGGTATAACCCTTGTCTTCCCCTCCCTCCTGGGTCTCTGGACTGCTGCCAGTGACTTACGCCTGCTTCAGAGTCGTTCCATCCACCCAGTGCCAGAGCCCCTCTTTCTTCTTGTCACTGAGCCCCACCCACCACCGGTGGTTGGAGTCAGCCCTCTGGTTCAGGTATTTCTGGGAAGCAAAGAGTGGGGTGAGCGTTGGACTTCTTATCCCTCACTCCCAGGGACCAAACAAAGCCTCAGTCCTCATCAGACTTGGGCCACTATTAAGGCATTTCCTTCCTTCCTCTGCCCCTATGCCCCAAAGATTCTTCCAACCACTCAGTCTGATATCTGAGGGCACTCACTGGAAGAAAATTCTTCCCTGTGCCAAACTATTGGAGAGACAGCAGCAGCAGCAGCAGCAACAGCTAACATTTATCGAGTACTTTCAGGTTTCTAAAGTGCTGCCCAAGTTACCTCATATACACATCCTCTTATTTGATGCTCCAGATAATCCTACAAGGCAGATCCTATCATTATCTCCATTTTATAGATAAAGAACGAGTTTGAGAGAGTTTCCGTGACTTCGCCAGCATCACAGAGCTAAGGATGCTTCTCAGGTGGGCTCTGAAGCCCATTGCTCCTTCGGGGTGCACTACCCATCTCTCTGAGTTAGAACACCTGGGTTCAAATCTTAGCTCTCCTAATTTCTGCTTATGTGATCTTGGGGAACCCTCTTCCCTTCTCTGGGCCCTGGTATCCTCAAATGTAAAATGAGAAGACTGGCCTAGCTCATCTCTAAAGTATTTTTCAGCTCTGATCTCTGCAGCCCACGACCATCTGCTTTCTACTGAGGAGACAGCCCGGTTCCAGAATCCATGTGTGACTTCCTGTTGGTGCTACGAGGCTACATCTCCCATATGTGTGTTCTACGATCCTCTGGGGTTCTCAGGACCTTGCTGTGCCCCTGCAGCTACATCCCCAGGTATGACTCTTTGCCACTTCTTGCCACTGGGTGGGGGAGGGGCAGTATGGATCATGAGGGTGACATCAGGAAGAAGAAAGAGTCAGGGAGAGAGCCTTTCACACCCCATACATATACATGTGCTTTGTCAGTCTCTTTTTGCACGTGATTTGTGTTTCTGTTTTGGTTTTTTTGGTTTTTAAGTGAAAAAGAGGAGATATATATATATATTTGACAATGACAAAAAATACCCAAGTGGTTTGCTATTTCCCTCTCCAGAAAGGGTGACCTAAGGGTCATAGCTTCAGAGTTAGAAGGGACCTTGAAGGCCAAGACCAACCCCCTTGTGATTGTCCAAAGTCACCCAGGTAGCAAGTAGCACAGCCAGAATTCAAACCCAACTCCTTTGACTCCAAATCCAGCACTCTGTCCATTGAACCACTCTGCCTTCTTCATTTGCCTGGTTCCCATGGTGTCTCTCTGTTACTCCAAACCCGGAATCACAGAATCTCAGTTGGAAGGGATCTCAGAGACCATCCCATCTAATCTATTCCTGAATAATTGGCTCATGTAATCATAGAGGACAAAGGCTCATATAATCATAGAGTACCAGAAGTGACATTTGTGCCATCTTGTCCAACCTCTTCATTTTACAGGTGAGAAAACTCTTTCACCAGTAAGGTGAAAATATCCAGAGTCATGGAGGTGGCAACCAGCCTTTTCTCAAAGATGTCCAACAAGAGACAAGTCCCCACCTCTCAAGGCAATCCCTTCTACTTGTCAGTAACTCCTTCTTAGGAAGTTTTTTTCCTGGTTTCAAACCTAAATTTACCTCTTTGCAGTTCTACCCATTGTCCCTAGCTTTGCCCTCTTGGATCAGGCACAAGGCTGATGGACGTGTCTTCCACATACCAGCCTTTCTAGTACTTGAAGACAGCAGCCGTGCCCTTCCCTGGCTAAACATGCCTATTTTCTTATAGAGATCATCTGAGATAGAATCCCCTCCTAGGCCTGTTCTCCAGCAGCATTCTCAGCCAAAGCTCATCACCTCTTTACTCCACAGTCTCAATCCCTATGTCCCATTCCTGGCACCCCACCCAGAACACCCATTCCCTTGCCCCTCATGGCCCTCTGCAACTTCAAAACTTGGTGCGCGACACCAGTTTCTAGCAGCCATCTCTACTTCACTGTGCCTGACTACTCATTCCTTTGCTCTAGGTGCCTCTGGCCCTCTACGCTCATTAGGATTCATTTCTAAACATCCTTTATCCACTTAGTCCCTGTCTCCTAAAACTGAACCCTAAGCTCCCCAAAGGCATCCTCGATTCTACCGCCTTGTTGACAACAGGGCTTTGAACAATGGATGTGAGCCCCTTCCCCATCTCTTGAATATAACCTTTGGAAGGTAGGGAAGAACAGAATTTCCTGAGGAATCCTAGGGGATGACTAGACCAAAGTCAACATCACCCCCCTCCCACCCTGATCTTACACACAAGGAAACTGAGATCCGAAGGGAATAAGGACCTTGCCCAAGACAGTAAGTAGCAGGGGAAGGAAGAACTTGAATCCAGGTCCTCTGACTTCAAATACAGTCCCTTTTCTTCTATACTACTTCCCACTTGGAGGCAGGGCTTAGCTACAAGGGCATAACTGGGCATAACCCAAACATCCCAGTCGGAGGGGGAAAAGGTAGGCAAAGGGAAAGTAGTAAGAAAAAAAAATTTCCAGCTAACTAGCTCTGTGGCCTCTACAACCCAGCATGCTTACCTTGTTACTATTCCTCATCCTCAACACTCCATTGACCATATCTGTGCCTCTGTACTGTGTCCCATCCCTGGAAAGCCACACCTCTACCCCACTGGGGTGCCTGGTTTCCTTCAAAACTCAGCTCAAGCACCATCTTCTATGGGAAGCCTGTCCCAGGGCCCCAGCTGCCAGGGCCCTCCTTCCTCAAATTGACCTGCATCTATTTTGTGTACTTCTTCTAGCCTGTTAGAATGTAAGCTTCTTGGGGCAGCTAGGTGACATAGTAGATAGAGCTCCAGCCTCGGAGTCAGGAGGACCTGAGTTCAAATGTGGCCTCAGATACTTGATACTTACTAGCTATGCGACCCTAGGCAAGTCACTTACCCCCGATTGCCTCACCAAAAAAAAATTTAAAAAAGAATGCAAGCTTCTTGAGGGCAGGAATTTTGCCCTTATATTACCAGTGCTAAACACAATGCCTGGCTTAAGCCAGTGCTTAAAAAATCGTTGTTGTATAAATGATTGAGTGTTCTGCGCAGATTCCAGAAACGGAGTCTGGAAGGCTTAAGTGTGAGGAGTGAATGGAAGCGGCAGAATGGAGGCCTCACTTCTACTGGGTTTAAAAGCTCTTAGGGACAGGAGTAGCAATAGGGAGAAAAGAAACTTGGGTTCCTAGGATTCAGAACCGGCATGGATCTTATTGCTCATCTAACCCCTGTCCCCTCCTCATAATTTTGTAGCTGAAGGCAATGAAGCCCAGAGCAGTGAAGGGCTGCTTGCCCCAAGTCACACAGCACACGGAGCAAAGACTCTGGAACCAGGTGGTTCTCTGACCCCAAATCCAATTCTTATTTCAGTCTACCAACCAGTACATTCTCATGGGGATTCTGAGAGCTGGAAGGACTCTACAGGTCAGCTAGTCCTCCACTCCTCATGGAGGATACAACTTCCCTGACATGGGGTCTCTGAGCACCTCTGGACACTCCCAGGGGCTCACTGTTTCATGCAACAGCTGCTTTCATGGTTACATAGGTCAGATTGTAAACAAGTTCTCTCACAGCCGGCCAAAAATTATTTCCCATCACTTACTCCGCCCCTACTTCATCTAGTGTTGTTCTGTTTTCTGGAGTTTTGCAAGAGAAACAAAATCTAACCCCTCTTTCTTGTCACAGATGGCATAAATCTAGAGTTAAAAGGCATCTCAGAGCCGATCCCCTCAATTTGCAGATGAAGCCCAAGGAAGGAAAATGATTTGCCTAAGGTCACATAGATAAGACAGATCCTGGGATCTGGGGATTTGGACAGACCTGGGAAAGCAACTCACCTGCTCCTCAGAAGAGCTAATGATAACCAGGTTGGAATCATCGGCCTCACACGCCCCTCTGGCTGCCTCCCATGGCTTTCGGTACACAGAAAAGTGGTAACAGCTGTCTTTATAGAGCTTCCAATCACAGGGACAGGGACTGCAAAGGGTGCCTGTGGGTAATGAGCAGGACTAGGCCAGGGGCCCAGGGGTCTTGACTCCCTCTCCTGACCGCTGAGCTCAGACCTCGTTGGATATCCCCCAGTCTAATTCCGGCTCCCTTCACTTCCCCACGCTTCCCCACGTGCCAGGCCGTCCTTACTCAGGGTTTTGTTCAGTTGCTGAATGAGTTGTGAAGCCTGAACTTGTTCTTTAGTCCTCAGGTCTAGGGAGGGAAGAAAAGAGGAGTCAGGAGGATGAACACCTTTGATCTTTAAAGAGACCAGATGGCCCACCACGACCCAAATCTTGCTTCCTTGGAGAACTCAGTTGTCCTGCTCCTCCTCTGTCCTCTGGATCCCCAGAGACTCAGACTTGTGAGGGATTTCAAGGGTCATCTGGTCCAAGCCACACCTCAAGAAGTCCCTTCCCTAGGGGGCAGCTAGGTGGCGCAGTGCATAGAGCACTGGTCCTGAAGTCAGGAGGACCTGAGTTCAAATCTGACCTCAGACCAGACACTTGACACTTACTAGCTGTGTGACCCTGGGCAAGTCACTTAACCCCAATTGCCTTGCCCCCTCCCCCCAAAAAATAAATAAATAAGAAGTCCCTTCCCTAGAGAACCCCAGTATCTTTCCTGTGCCCCTCCCTGCTGCAAATCTCTGAGCCCTCCACCTGGTGATGCTCTCTTCCCACTAGCCCCAGGTATCTTTCCCCCAGTTCTTGGCCTTACCCACATCATCTTTCAGCTGGGCAGAGAGCTGGTTCAGTTTCTTCTGGATTGCTTCGTGCTCCAAATTATGCTGACTTTGATTCTGGAAGACTGGAAGGCAAAGTAATAAGTCTGGGCCCATAGGAGTTGCACCCATCCAATGAAGGGCTGGGGAGTTGGGGAAGGAGGGAGGAAAGAAGAGAGCCCCAGTGTCTTTCCTGTGCCCCTGCCTACTACAAATCTCTGAGCCCTCTACCTGGTGATGCTCTCTTCCCACTAGCCCCAGGTATCTTTCCCCCAGTTTTTGGCCTCACCCCCACCATCTTTAAGCTGGGCAGAGAGCTGGTTCAGTTTCTTCAGGATTGCTTCGTGCTCCAAATTATGCTGACTTTGATTCTGGAAGACTGGAAGGCAAAGTAATAAGTCTGGGCCCATAGGAGTTGCACCCATCCAATGAAGGGCTGGGAGTTGGGGAAGGAGGGAGGAAAGAAGAGAGCCCCAGTGTCTTTCCTGTGCCCCTGCCTACTACAAATCTCTGAGCCCTCTACCTGGTGATGCTCTCTTCCCACTAGCCCCAGGTATCTTTCCCCCAGTTCTTGGCCTCACCCCCACCATCTTTAAGCTGGGCAGAGAGCTGGTTCAGTTTCTTCAGGATTGCTTCGTGCTCCAAGTTATGATGACTTTGATTCTGGAAGACTGGAAGGCAAAGTAATAAGTCTGGGCCCATAGGAGTTGCACCCATCCAATGAAGGGCTGGGGAGTTGGGGAAGGAGGGAGGGAGGAAGAGAGCCCCAGTGTCCTTCCTGTGACCCTCCCTGCTACAAATCTCTGAGCCCTCCATCTGGTGATGCTCTCTTCCCATTAAGCCAGGTATCTTTTCCCCAGTTCTTGGCCTCACCCACATCATCTTTCAGCTGGGCAGAGAGCTGGTTCAGTTTCTTCTGGATTGCTTCATGCTCCAAGTTATGCTGACTTTGATTCTGGAAGACTGGAAGGCAAAGTAATAAGTCTGGGCCCATAGGAGTTGCACCCATCCAGTGAAGGGATGGAGATTTGGGGAAGGAGGGAGGGAGGAAGAGAGCCCCAGTGTCTTTCCTGTGACCCTCCCTGCTACAAATCTCTGAGCCCTCCACCTGGTGATGCTCTCTTCCCATTAAGCCAGGTATCTTTTCCCCAGTTCTTGGCCTCACCCCCACCATCTTTCAGCTGGGCAGAGAGCTGGTTCAGTTTCTTCTGGATTGCTTCGTGCTCCAAATTACGCTGACTTTGATTCTGGAAGACTGGAAGGCAAAGTAATAAGTCTGGGCCCATAGGAGTTGCACCCATCCAATGAAGGGCTGGGGAGTTGGGGAAGGAGGGAGGAAAGAAGAGAGCCTGATTTCAAACAAGCTTCCCTTTCTCTGGAACTAATAGCAGGATAGGACATAATATCTCTTTGTTGTTGCCCTCTCTGGCAATCTCACCCAGGGTATAGGGCTCAGGCCTGGCCCCCAATTCAGTCTGACTTCAGGGACCCAGCCCTGCTTCTACTCTTGCAGAGTAGCCCCTAGATACCCAGCTGCCCAGATCCCTAAATTAGTGTAGGCCAAAAAGCTACCTTCAAGATCCTGTAATCTAACCGCTTCATTTTAAAAATAGAGAAACTGAGGACCAGGGAATGGAAGAGACTAGCTCCAGGTCACATAATTAATACACAGCAGTAGCAAGGCTAGAACTCAGATTCTCTTGTTCCAGTTACAATGCTCTTTCCACTCTATCAAACCATCTCCCTCTTCCCCGTCTTCTGATTCCCATGAGAGAGACCAGAAATCGAACGTCTCCTTTCCCCAGCCCATTCCTAGCCCTGGGCCTGGGCCTTACCTTGGGATAAGATAGTGATGGTGAGGATGAAGGAAAGGGCAAAGAAGATCATCCTCATCAGGAAGCCCAGGCGACTCAGCCAGGGAGCTGCAAGGATGGAGTGTCAGGGGAAGCCCAGGCCTCCCGGCCCCCAGACCCAGCTCCCCTGAGGAAGCCTTCCCTAAGCTCATCCACCATGTTAGCCAGACCCAGAATAAGGAGCATTCCATTTTGGAGCTAGAAGAAACTTTTGAGATCCACTACCTTAGAAGCAGCTAGATGTTGGCAGCAGATAGAGAGCATTGCAACTAGCCTCATGAAGTCCTGCATTCAAATCTAGCCACAGACACTTACTGGTTAGCTATGGGACCCTGGGCAAGTCACTTTACCTCTCGTGGGTTCAGTTTCCTCATCTGTAAAATTGGGATATTAGCACCTACCTCCTCAAGTTGTTGTGAGGATCAAAGGAGAATATATGTAAGGCTCTGCACACCTTATTGTACTGCAGCAGTGCTAGACATAATTACTGTTATTATTACCTCGGACATCCTCATCATCTCCAGCCGTCTCCCAGGACACTTCCATTCACCAGGAGCTGGCCCCAGCCCTACCAGTACATATAGATGTGTATATGCATATATACATATGTCTATATGTGTGTGTACATACACATGTGTGTATTAACTTAAGCACATTTGTGTGCATATACATATGGGCATGCATGTGCATGTATTGTATACACACATATATATGCTGTTTATGTATAGGCACACATACATTGCATATGCCAAACAAATACAATGTAATTTCAGAGAGCAATGTACTAACAGTCATGGAAACAGAAAAGGTTACGTGGAGAAGGTAGCATTTGAGCAACGCTTTGAAGGAAATGAGAGATTGAAAAAGGGGGAGATGAAGGGGAACACATTAGAGCTGAATTGAATTACTTTCCTGACAGGGTGTGCTCCCATGTCCCATGGAGGAAGCCTGGGAGTCCAGCTTGTAGCCACCTGCCGCCTATGCCCCTCTCCTAGGCCCAGGAAGTCCCATTTCTTAAGCCTGTCCCAGGCTACTATGGCCCCAGCGGGCCCCTCTTCACTCCTCGCTGCCCCCACATACCTGGAAAGCTCCTCAGGCTCTGACTTCTTTGGCTTCCGAGGTTGAAGTGGCTCCATCCAGAGGGCATCAGCACGTCCTCATCTAAATAGAATGATCAGACACCATTCCCCACCACCCCCATCAATACGAAAGGAAATAGGTAGGCAGCGGGCAGATGAGTCCCTGGTTCCCCTGGCCCAGGGACAGTCTTGCTAACTCAAGTCTCTACCTTGCATGCCACTTTTGGACTCCCCCTTGCCTGTCATGAGGAGAACCCCAGTGCTCTAGACTGGAACCTGAAGGGCCTCCCTACCAGCCCCTGTCCACCTCCTCTGTGGCCGTGGCTCCTAGTCCATCCGCTAGCACCCTTGGCCTCATGCCTACCCACCCAATCCTGCCAGCTCGGGGAACTTTGGATTCTCAGTGTCACACATCGCTGTTGCCCTTTCTGAAGGCTGCTTCTGTTCTGCCTAGGGATCACATGCTCTTCCCTACAATTAGGCAGTTTTTCTTCCCTTCTCAGATGGACCCTCCCAGAGTTTCATGCTCTCATTGAATGAGATATGAACAGGAAGGGAAATGAACTCGCCCTGCTCCCCCATTGGCTAAAACAGAATGGCAGGTAATGAAAAGGAATGGAGTAAAAGACAACGTGGAGGGCAGCCCAGAGAGGAGTGGGCAAGGGTAGTAGTGGGATAGGGGACAACTGCAAAAAGAGGGCCTGAGTACAAGGTGGATCTGGGGGATAGGGAGGAGTAAGGACCTAGATCTCAATGCCAGTAAGGGCAATTAGGTGTCAAAGTGGATCAAGCACTGGAGACCCTCATCACACAGAGGTCCAAGATATGCATTGTGGGAAGTCAGCATCTACTTACAACTCCCTAAGTGTTTCTTTTACCAGGCCAGCCAAGGTTAATGTTATTTCAAAGCCAAAGCCATTTAATCCAATTTCTTGTTCAGTCGTTTCAGTTATGTCTGACTCTTCATCATCCCATTGGGGTTTTTTTTGGCAGAGACACTAGAGTGATTTGCCATTTCCTTCTCCAGCTCATTTTACAGCCAAGGAAACTGAGGCAAACAGGGTGAAGTGACTTGCAGGCCTGTCATACAGCTAGTAATTGTCTCAGGTCAAATTTGAATTCAGGTTTTCCTGACTCCAGGCCCAGCACTCTATCCACTGCTAAACATGTGTTAAGAACAACTCCCATCACTAATAGAAACAAGGGCATCTTCTCCCACAAGTTACCACATCACCAGTGGGGGAGAGGATACAAACATAGAATAAGTGTAGAACATAAACATAGGAGGCATTCATTGGGACCACATACGGCCAGAGAGAGACCTGAGGGCCCACTTAACCTCATTTGTACTGGCTGCTGTTCCCTGTGCCTGGAATGTTCTTTCTCTTCATCTCATTTCCTCATCTTAGCTTCTTTCCTGGCTTTCTTCAAGATTCGCTACAGGAGGCCTTTCCCAGTCCTCCTTTTTCACCCTCTCCCCTCTAAGATTACCTTCTATTTACATTGTATGTATCTTGTGATAGATAGATAGATAGATAGATAGATAGATAGATAGATAGATAGATAGATAGATAGATGATAGATAGATAGATAGATAGATAGATAGATAGATAGATAGATAGATAGACAGACAGATAGATACAGATGTTTGGATTTTGTCTCCCACATTGCATTGTAAGCTCTTGGGGATAGAGAATGTTCTTTTGTCTTTCTTTGTAACCCCAGTGCTTAGCGTGGTACCTAGCACACAGTAAAAGCATAATACAGTCCATCCTCAAATGGGGAGGGGGGTGTAACATTCCTATAAAATGGTGCAAAGGTAAAAAATGCAAATATTTATACATTGAATCTATGAGAAATAGGGGATTAGGTCCCTGCAACCAGCAAAAACTAATCTTTCGCTAAAAATCATTGAAAATACATTTTTCTGCATACAATTCTTTATAACAAAACATTAATTTTGATAACATGCACTTTTCCTAGCACAGTAACCATGAAATCATCCATAAAATGCCATACACAAAATAAAATTGGTAACATGCAAAACATTTTTTCACTAGTGCTTCCTGAGAATTCTGTGACCTTTTGTGCTAGTACCTCAATTTTTTTAAAAAACCACATTGATTTCAGACAATATTCACTTTTCATAACACGTGAAATCTATAGTACCATAAATACTATGGAACAAATAAAATTCTTAAAACTGAAACATTTTTAATCTAAATCTTATTTTCCACTATGTCAGATGGCAGTATGAGGGCATTACACTGTACATTAAACTGCTGTTTTTAGAAGTTTGATGTAACTTATTAACATCATCTCATTTATACTGAAAAAACTTATCTGGCCTATGCAATAGTGAGAATAATAGATAATAAGAGCTAATATTTGCATAGCTAATGCCAGCATGAACATTTTCAAGATGTCTTTCAATTTATTAGGTTCCATGTTAACTGTAGCTAAAGCATTCATACAAAGCAAACAAGTAGTTTTTCCTCTCCATCATTTAGTAACTATGAATCCCAATGATGATACAATGGCTTGCATTTTCTGGATTTGGGCTCTTTACTTTATGTTTCTTCATTTCTGCTACCTCAAACAGCCTGTCATTTTTGTTTGTACTAATTTCAGCCACTCTATTCAGTTTTCTCTTCAAACTAGTTGTCTAACTATCCATCATGATAAAATATTTCACATTTTTTAAAAATGAGAGAGAAAAATTTTGACAATTTAATTGTTGAAAAATGCAAATTGTTAGCATTGAAGATTCTCAGGTCAACTCAATGGTTAGGTTAAGTTCTAGTTTATTTGAAAACTAGATTTTTATATGGTAATGATATTTTGGTACTTATCAAAATCAGTCAATCAATAATTTATTAAAAGGTGTAGTCAAGATGGTAGAGTAGCAGGAAGAAATACAATGGTCTTCTTCTCCTCCATAACTCTCCCAAACAGATCTAGAAAGCACACTGGACTAAATTCTGATCAGGAAATCCAAGAAAAAAATCATAGTTAATATTTTTCCAGTCTAGGTCAGCAGAGAAAGACAGAGAGGTCTGCAGACAGTGGGGATAGAGATTGGCCAGGAGAATACCCCAATGAAGATGAGCATGCCAGTGCAGAGATAGGCTGTGCAACCGATCGAGAAGAGGTCCCAGATATAGCACAGAGGAGTCTCATTTGGCATAAGGCACAGGAATAGGTGCCAACTGGCTGCTCTGTCTAGGGCAGACTGACTGTCCAGGCCCTACGGATGGCATTCCAGGGTGAGGAGGAGTCAGGGGCCATAGGCTACATACCAAGCAAGGAACAAGTTCAGAAACAAGTAGCCACTGTGTTGCTTGAACCCCAGGAGCTGAGTGAGTCTCAGCTTAAGCTTTAAGCCCAATCTGAAGCTAACAGAGGAGTAACCAGGAATCTTAGACCAAAGGTAAGCCTATAGTTCTGATACACTGAACCAGAAGTTTTCCAGCTGGTTGATGATGGCAGAATCCAGCACAATCTACTGAAACTACAAATGGACAAGTTCTACGGGCCTATTTTTCAGACCCAAGCCCAGGTCAGGAACTTGAAGAGCTCAGGCCACGAGGGCAGCAATTAGATCAAAAAAGGAGCCTAGATTTCACATTTCAAGAAACCACTATGTTACAACATGGAAAGATACATAGAAGGGAGGGAGGAGCAGGGGGATAGGGAGGAGTGAGCAATGTATCAAGGTCAAATCAAGGACTGGCAAAGAGAGGAACATGACCTCTGTGGGCTCAGAAAGAGAAGAGTCCACAAGGAATGGGTGAGAAGAAGGTAGGATAGATTGAAAAGAGGGAGAAAGGGAGGAAACCTTACTTTGGAGCTGGGAGGGAGTTCCATGAATTAGTACTCCTATGGGTGAAGAGAGATGTTGGTGAAAGTATAAAATTAGTCTAAGGGACTCATGTTTTAAGCTTGCTTGACTTTTGGATATGTGCACAGCCAGTCTGCAGAGAATGGCAGTCTGATCTACCCTTGTACATGTGTGTTTAGGCATTGGGGAAAAGCTGAGGTGGCATAAAAGCCCATCTCCTTGTCATGTATGTACTGATCAGCATTTTCTCGTCCCTGTATGGAAGCCATTTACTCTTGTCTATAAAAACTACACATGGTTTGAAAATCAGCACCAGCTGCACTCGGACTGCTTACTGCCTTGGTATGCTAATAAAATACCTTTGCCTTTTTTTTTCCCCCCCTGAGATTGACTTACTGATCAGGGCAAGGCACAAACCAAGATTTCTTTTTAACTTTTGGCAACCATGAAGGGACCCTTCACTTGTACGACTGTCATAGGGAGAGCCCCCTGTCCAGTTCCACAGCCAGTGCTCAGACCTTTGTCTGATAGAGGGTTGGAGTTATCACAAATTAAATTTAACAAAAAGGTAAAATGAGGTACATTTCTCCAAGGAAGATAACATTTTATTCACAGGGCATGAACCCGAGAACAAGATGGGTTGACAGCTGTCTCAGTTTTCAGCCAAAGAGTCAGGATTGGAGGTATTACTCATTTTTATAAGCATAGAACAAAGAACAGAACAAGAATCATACGATCGGTTATGGAACAGGCAACATCACAAAGTTGATGGATCATGACTGGTTACATTAAAGAAAGCGGGCGTACATACACGTGGGATAAAGACCACCTCTTTCTGTCTTAAAGGAATGCTTTATGAATTTATGGGACTTAGCTGCATCTTAAGGCCACTGATAGTGAACCAGACATAGCAGACTCACAGGTACATGGGAATGAGATAGAACTCTTTAACAGCAAAAGTGGGATTAAGAGGGGACAAGGTCAGCTTGCCTTTGCTCTTAAGGATAACACAAATGCCTTAATGTTTCTCAGGAGCTCACATTATAAGGGATGAGAAGCTTCAGATCACAAAGTGATTTGCAGGTGGTGCTGTGATAACAATTCCCTTAGAATTAAAATGTTTCATGAGAATATTGAACTTCTAAACTTTGGCACAGAATTGTCTTTAATTAAAAATAATAAGGAGGAAAATCAAACTTTTGGCATCTAACTCTGAAAGAGAAAAATTGAACTTTTGAACTCAGAGACAAAGAAGAGGCTTTATTACATGAGGTTTGTTGCATGAGGCTACAGGATAAAATAAAATATAAAACACAGGATCAATAGTTGCTTCTCATAGAATGAACTCTCCTGACAATTGGTAAGCTGTAAAATGTTTGGAGAACCAAACTCCTCAAACGCAGGAAGCATAAAGAGAAACCAGTCCTTGGCCTAAAATTTCATTCTCTTGCTGTGCATGAAAATACAGGAGCAGCACCATGCGAAGGAAAAGGCAGATGGTCTTGATCCAGCATTAGGTCACCAAGGGCAGAACAGTCAAGGGATACTGCTATCATTATTGAATTGTGACAGAGGAAACCACCAGCCAGCTCCCCATTAGGCAAGCTGTTCAAAGCTTGGGATAAGGAAAAACTACCAATTCAACTGG